ACCACATCGCGCCCATCATGGGCGATGGATTACCTCGTCGAGGATTTGAAGGAAGTCGACTACGAGTCAGGAACTTCATTCCTAGGATGAAGAGAAAAAGAGGGAGAGGTGCCCCAGCGACACGACATGAGCCCTGCCCAAATCTTGCGGACACCGTGCCCGATTTCGAAACTCTCGACTTCCGGGGGAAGTGGTGTCAATACCAATGACCTCGACGAGGCACAGAAGCAGCAGCTGAATGCTGTCCGCAGGTCGGCTTTCATGCGCGCGCATCCACGGTCGGTCCTTGACTTTTATGTGGAAAACGGCTTCCACTCGGCAGGTTCCGCTACATGAGCTAAAAGCGCGATCACTCAATCGTTGAACGTCTACGCAGTCGGGCCCCCGGCCACTCCACAAGCTGAGCTTGACGACCGAAAAGCTCTCCGAGCTCGCTTCTTGGTTCCTCAAGAAATCTCGATGGAAACTTCCTGCACTCGACTTCGTGCCCGCTCCTGTATCCGCGATGCGAAGGAGTTCTGTGGTGCTTACCCCTGGCGAAACCGCTGTGGATGACGAAGAGCTCCTTGAGCGATGGGTGCAGCGGCACCAGAAACTCTCCTCGCTGTACAGCATACAGTTGAGCCACAAGGAGGTCGAGTCGCGCGTGGAGGGCCATCTTCGGTTTGAGTTTGCCCAACTTAAGGTGCGTCGCTGACTGCCTTCGGATTGTCGCCCTGCGACGTATGGTTGATCCATCACGCTCCCGCGAGCTCTGTGGTCGCTCACACGGGTGAGTCTGCCACCACAGCAGCTCAGGGCCATAGCTTTAGCTCATTTCATGGCTCTTCAGCTTCCCTGGCTACCGCCTAAAAGCGCGGGGCGTACGACGACGCAAAACGTTATGATCCCTCTATTCATACACAGTCGTGGGCAGTATCCTTACTTTTGAATTCGCAGATTTATTGTTTATAATATCATTTTTATTAACTATAGCGCAAATCACAGCAAAAAAAATATTACTTCATTTCGTAGCCGGAAAGGTTACGTAACATTGGTGATTCCACCACAATGGCGGTGCTACTTCCAACTGCCTCCGATGTGACTATGGTAATTCCAGTCTAACCTACTCCTGTTACCATATTAAACGCGCTTTCTCATTCTACTATTTACTATCTACGTAGTTTGACAGCGCTTTGTTCGAGTACGAAGAGGCGGCCACGCGCCAGCCATTCGCCGTCCAGACTTGGATCTCGTATATACGTGCGCTGTCCGATGCCCCACTCGCTAATCGTTGCGAAGTCTACGAGCGCGCACTTCAGGTTCTACCACGTAGCTACAAGCTCTGGAAACTCTATCTGGACGATGTGTACGATACACAAGTACGTGGACAGCGTGTAGATTCCCCATTCTACATCCAGCTAGTTGCACTGTACGACCGTGCACTGATACAGCTGTCTACAATGCCAAGATTGTGGCTTGACTACTTAAATGTGCTGCGTGAGATGTGTGTAGTCACAGCGCGTCGTCACGTATTCGATAGAGCGCTTCGAGCATTGCCTATTACCCAACACCATCGTATTTGGACGCCATACTTGGCTTTCGTGCAACAGATTGGTATCCCTCGCACGGCTGTGCTTGTATACCGACGATATTTAATGCTTGAGCCATCAAAGAGAGATGAATATATTGATTACTTGGTTTCGGTAGAACAGTATGAAGAAGCAAGTTTGCAGCTTGTGAAGCTGATTGAAGCAGTGGAAAAGAAAAAAATAACGACGGATCGAACGACACACAGTTTGTGGATGCAACTCTGTGACATGATATCGCAACATCCAACACGTGTAGCAAAGTCGTTAGATGTTGAAGCGATTTTGAGAAGCGGTATGGCTCGCTTTAGCAATGAAGTGGGTCGACTTTGGTGCTCGTTGGCAACTTATTTTGTACGGCTGGGCATGTTTGAATCCGCGCGAGATGTATATGAAGAGGGGATTTGTACAGTTGTGACCGTGCGTGACTTTAGTATGATCTTTGATGCGTACGTGAAATTTATTGAAGCCATGCTTACAGCAGAGATGGAGCTAGCTACTGGTGACGATAATGAAGATGAAAACGAAGAAGATGAAGTAGATCATCAAGCTCAGGTCGATCGTTTGTTAAAAGTGTACGAGGATGTGGCTGAAAGACGTCCATTGTTGTTAAATTCAGTACTTCTACGACAGAATCCGCATAATGTGCGTGAATGGGAAAAGCGAGTGGAGCTTGTCAAGTCAGATCTACAACAGGTAATTCAAACGTACGCTGAAGCGGTGAAAACGGTAGACCCTAAGAAATCAAGTGGACGGCTGCCAACGCTGTGGATCCAGTTTGCTAAGTTCTACGACGGTCACGGTGATCTGGACAATGCGCGAGCAATCTTCAAGAAAGCTGTAGACGTTGACTTTCGTACCTTCCAGGAACTTGCCATTGTGTATTGCGAGTGGGTTGAACTAGAACTTCGCCACGAAAACTTTGACGAAGCACTTGAGATTGTGCGTGGTGCTTGTATTCCTCCAGCTACACGTACTCTTCGTCTTCGCAAGCAGCAGTCACTTACGGCCAAGGATAATGTCCATTTGAGCGTGAAATTGTGGACTTTGCGTCTTGATCTCGAGGAAAGCTTGGGGGATCTTGAATCGACTCGTGCTGCCTACAATGAGGTCTTTGAACTTAAAATCGTTACGCCACAAATGGCGCTGAACTATGCAGCTTACATGGAGGAGAATAAGTATTTCGAAGAATCGTTCCGTGTGTACGAGCGAGGATTAGTACTTTTTCCGAAATTTCCGCACGCAGCCGATCTGTGGCAAACTTATCTGGCAAAGTTTGTCAAGCGTTATGCTGGATCAAAGATGGAGCGCACGCGCGATTTATTTGAGCAGGCTATACGTGCCGCCCCGGCCAAATCTGTGTGTGTATTCTTCGAGATGTATGCTGATTTTGAAGAGCAGCACGGCATGTTGCGTAATGTTATGACAATATATGAGCGTGCGTCTGATGCTGTTCTTGATGATGAAAAACTTACAATCTACTATAAGTACATCAAAAAGGCACAGAAGTACTTCGGCGTCGCAAAAGTACGAGAAGTGTACCAACGAGGCATCAGTAAGCTACCTGATAAATGCATCGCACCTCTATGTCTCAAATTTGCTCAGATGGAGACTAAACTTGGCGAATTTGATCGCGCTCGAGCTATTTATGCCCATGCATCTCAATTTTGTGATCCGCGTCAACACGAAAAGAGTTTCTGGAAGCTGTGGCATGACTTTGAAGTATCTCACGGCTCTGAGCACACTTTTCTTGAGATGCTGCGCATTAAGCGCTCTGTGGTGGCTCAGTATTCACAGGTTAATTTCGTCTCATCTGAAATTGCTCCTCAAAATGACAGCACGTCAAAGATTGCTGGAATGGTTGCCGCATCAAACCCTGCAGCTGCAGGTGATGCTATGGCTGCTTTAGAGGCTCAGCTTGTTGTGACACCAGCTGACGAGCGAGACGCCAAGAAGCGAAAGGCAGAGACATTAGTGTCTGAAACTGAACGAAATGTCCGACAGAAGGAAGTTGTAGAGGTGGCAAATGAAGAAGAGATTGAATTAGATGACGAAGACGGTGATGCAGAGGAAGGGGAAAGAGAAACTGACGTAGAAGAGCGTGAACTTTCGTCAAGGGTGACGGACAATAGCATTGAAAAAGCCCAGAATTAAAGATTGACTGCGACCTTGTAAAAATGCCATTAGCTGACGGATGGTTCCAACTATTTACCTACACAAGGAGTGACTTCTGCGTCAAAATATCTTTTTGCAACGTTTTCGACGTATGCGTGCCAAAACTTGAGCTCTTACCAAATTCGTAACTACTTTACAATGTCTTGCTTGTGCTATTCATTTACCTCACACAAGAAAGAATGGCCAATAGCTTCATGCTTTCTGAGCACTGCTGGTGTTAATACGACAGGGTCGTCATCTTTGCTTCTATTTTTTAAACTTACTAATTGTACTGCTGTCACTGTCGATTAGTAGCTGCCTCATGAATAGATCTCGTGTGTTTGACCACGTTATCGATAACATTAGTGTAGAATCTTAGCTGGTTATTTTGCATCTACAATTCTGGTTTAAACAAGCAACTACGTATGCATTCAAGCATTACATCATACCAACTACCAATGCGAGAATTGGATAGCTACAAAGACATTTGATATCCTCTTTGCGCCATATATTCACAACATCTCAGGGTTGCACGGACTGTATTTATTTCGTCGATTCGAGATTGGGTTTCAACACTTCAAAGGGTCAGCCGAATAGTGTGACTAGACATGTTGTCGACAAGCAACAGTTCAAACTGAATTATTAGAGCCACTTCAAAAAAGTCACTACCGTGCTTTAGAAGAATCGATGCCTTTGTATTAGAGAACATTACTTTTCACTACAAACGTACTTTGAATCAGCATTACAGTTGCTTTCAACTAATCGTTGAATGGGGCCTTCGTCAAATTTTTATTCAGCTATTCTGCTCATTATAAGCCAGAGTTCTTTGGGCACTAGCCGATAAAGGAACACACAATCGTCTAATTGCAGATATTGTCTGGCTTATGATGGCTGCTGATATTTGTAAAGTGCCAAATGAGCTTTCACTTCACCCAAACTATCCGTTTCACCATGAAACGTTTTGACGAATTGCCGTTGGGTGTTATGATTTTCCAAGCCACTCATTGCTCAAATGAAGTTGATCTTTATCAATTTATGGCTTCATTCTGTAGCCAAGCTTGAGCACGTTGGGAATAAATGTGATCTTTACGTTGGTAAGAAAGTCATTTTCTTTCCAGTTCCGGATATCACAGGCGATGGTACCAAAAATTTGAGTACAGAAATTTTACTAATTCCTCCACCAAATGCATCGAAATATTCCAATTTTGACACTCATATTAAACGTCGAACGTGTCCAATCCATCATCTCAACATCTTTCATACGGGGTCGCATTAACATTTGGAGCTTCTTGTTCAGTGTCAGCAAAGGGCTTTGTGTTGGAATCGTGGATTAGCGACGATCCCCCATCATTGCTTGCGTCATTAATTTTGGGCCTTTAGGGTACCCCCGCGCCTGCTGATTGCATTCGTTTCTAACAACACTGCGCGATGGTGCTGGATCATCAGTATAGCATAGGGCATCAGGTGCCGATGAATAAAATTGTGAGCAGTATGATTGAGCTTCTAACATCAACAATGCTTGTACTTGCGAGGAGAAATGTTTTGCAGAGCGAGAACCATAAGCTCGGCATCACTAGATTTCGAGACTGGTCCATTGCGAAGTTTAGCCATAAATGTGTTCACTTGAGTTGACAAATCAACCGGTCGCCGATGACACACTTGATACCAGATATCGTATCTATTAAATGTAAGCGTGGAAATCCATGTTACAGTGTCATGACCTGAGAAACTCGGAATTTCTTGAGGTCGCTCGAAGCTCGACTGTAGCTTTGACTTGAGGTCATTGAAGATTTTGAAGTAGTCTAAATAACACGTCTGTAAAGCGAATGCACAATACTTTAGACTCCTAGCTAGTTGAGACATTGCATATCTCCCTTGCTGATCTTTTGTCAAAGATCTAATGTGCGTAGATATATTGTTGAGCTCACAGAAAGAGCATTTTTTCGTCGCAGCTAATGTCTCGATGTTGATCTTTGGCGATGATCTATCAGAGTTGTAGGCGCTAGCGCGTGCACATTTGTGAATTACACGGGAATAATAAATTTGGTTGCCGGGACACTGTGCATTTCGCCGCCACTGTACAAATGTGAGATCACCGACTTTTGAAGTTATCCGACTGATCGCCTCTCATTCTTATGCGGACCTTCAAACTAAATCAAAAGCCAAATCAAAACACTTTTTAAAGAATTATTTAAAGCTTAAACTTGTCATTGCGATTCTTGCCTCAGATGCCCCTTCTAAATATTTTTTCAGCATTTTTTTTACCCTCCCGGTGCCCCTCCTGAGCAACAGCATCGTATAAAATCTAGCCTGATTGCAAATTTGGTTCTTGCTCAATGTTTCGATATTCTTGACATCCTTATATGACGAATGCAAATCCAGACCATTTATTCCTATCTTTCTCAGTTATTGTTGTGGTATTTTCTCGCTCGCTCATTGACACGCATATACAAAGCACGATGAATCAAAAACTAAAAAGTTGCGGAGACAAGAACGTTTTCGTAAGAAATCTATCGAGAACACCCTTATAGGATTTGATCTCATCAATTCCTGTGTAGGACGGATATCGGACATTCTCTAGCGTGTCAACTCAGTGAGAAACCGTAAGCAGAACCGTGCGTCAAAGCAGATTAAAGCGTATCAAAGCGTATCCATAATCTATCCGACGCATTCTTTTAGCTTTTTCCTTCCTCCATTGGTTCATGATCATAGGATAATTGGCCAAATCCCCTGTAAAAACAAATTATCGCGTTTCCCGAGCGTGTGAAGTCTTCGACCATGGCGAAATCTTTCTAGCATTCTTTGAAATTTCTGACTGAAATATTGTCATGTAATTAAGATCCGTCGTTAACACGTTTTTAATGCGAAGCACGATCCCAGTTTATCTTTTGAAATTTCAACATCACATTTCCAGCAAAAAAGGATGCTGTGCTCAAGATTTTTTCGCATGGTAAGCTATCGATGATCATGCCAATTCTCAGAACCCAGTGCCACGCTTTTGATCGTAGCACTACCCCTCAGGCTATCTTCAAATATTTCGACAAGTCGTGCACCTAATAAGAAAGTCAACCGGGTTCTTGTGAATGGAACAAATGGTTCATCAGATTGTTGCTGTTGAGACAACATCTTCACTTTTTTTTTGATTATAGCCGTGTAAATCGACATGATTTGCGAACCACTAATTCTTAAGTCAAAATGTCTCTTACTATCACATTAAAACACTTTTGTACATCACAACTTTCTTTTGCTTTCCATTTTAAAGACATCGTCAGGGCACAAGTATCCACTCTTGATCACTATCTACCTATACTGTCAGTTCTTTGACTCGTCGAGCAAAAAATACGCCTTATCTGGATAACATTGTCATTGCAATGGGGTCGCCGTAAACTACACATAGTGAAAGCTTTAACTCTGGACAACATCTTTATTGCAATGAAATGCCATGTATTTGCACACTGTAAGGTGCGACTCTACGTCCATAAACGCAGAGGATAAAACCGTATGCTTCACCGAGGAGCGGAACCAAGGAATCTTCTTGCCTCTAAATGATGAGTGATGTAGATTTTTTATGAAGTTTATTTAACAAGTGTATCATTCTTACTATATAAAGCTGTATACAGTGTGTCGTAAGACTAGCAGCTCACGCTCCCACGGAACTCGACTCACGGATATCCATCACCCGTACCAATACTATCATGATACTTCTTCATGATAGTTTGCCATGGTACTTGTGATCCTAGCTTCAAGTATGCGAGACAATAGTAGTTTTAATAATGTAATAAATGGATGTTTCCTATTAGACCCCCTACAAAAACTGTGCCGCACTCATAATATCGTTTTAAAGCGTGAACGCTCTACGGGGATATTTTGCTCACCATTAAATCTGACACTACAAGCGATATTCCTTTCCATTATCGCCCTTATGGCTAAATGGACCGATGAGGAAGGCGCGGACCTCACCCCCCAACGACTTGTGAGCCCTACTCTGCGAGGCAGTCGAAGTGTTCTCCGATGAACTGGTCGTAGTGACTCCAAGTCCCAACCTATCAGTTGTGCTCTCACCAAGAGTCATACGACAAAGCAGCTCTCCGAAAATGAGACAAATCTTAGGCTCCCCCAAGCGTATTAAATTTGCGCTCCGTGTGAAACTCGCATGTCGACATCCTGTCGAACATGTTTACATATCAGCCTTACTAAAGAAAATGTTTGACTGGGCCGCCGTTAATGCTTGTCCTTGCGCGCCATAGATCATGATGTCAAGGTGGGTGCTCGCCACCTCTAAGTTTTTCTGTTAAAAGCCCTGCTCCATTACATGATCCTGTGGTACAGCTACCGACCAAGTCTTGAAGTATAACTAAGGCCAAGCCCAATTTGCTCGAAAGATGAGCAGTCTCGTTTCTTCTTTCTCTTGCAGCGACATTACAGGATGCTTCAAGCTACAAGCAGCAACTGCGCAAGGCAATCTTGCTAAAAAGAACTCATGATTGTAGGAGTTTTCGAAGTAAGAGTAAAAAGTTTACTTTGCCAGATATCAGGTCATCCCATCCCTATTCTTTCCTCATGAATCTATTGGCACTCGGTAAGTGCTGACCAAAAGGACCTTTTTGCTGTTGAATCCGTGACTTCGTTCATAAATGTCGGCATATCGACTCTCTCCTATCGTCTCGATGTGTCGTCGAAACTAACATAATTTAATTTTTACGGATGCTTTTTATTGGTTGCGCAATCGAACGGAGTATCATGTGCGGCTCAGAACCGTATCATCACCCTAGCGAGGAGATGACTCAGCTACAAAGGATGTTAGAAACCTTAATATCCATTATCAATGCGCTTCGCATTCAAGTGGCCATCAAGAGGCGACGCCTTCGCATGGTATGGTGCAGCATAGCTGCCGTAGATCTTCGTTTAGAGGAAGCTTGGTTAAATTCGGTGACCTTCGTTCGATAGTTAATATGTAGCGGATCGCAATCCGATTATTCAAGAGTAACCACAACTTTACCAAAAGGAAAATAAACTGTTCCGTTCAGAATGCAGACTGTATTTCTTGGTTTTATTTGCGGCAAAGCCGCCCATATCTAAATCTATAAATTTTCCAAAATTTATAGTAAAACCTAATTGAAATGCACAACTACTGGCAGTCCAGCCACGTACGGATATGTACTTTAAGTGGCCACACTATTGTGTGATTACACCGTCTTGTGTAATCCACACCCTTGTATGGCCACTCCATCTTGTGTGACACACCTAGCCTCGCCAGTTCCGAGAGCGCCCGCGGGCAGAACCCTTCTTCGTCACCTGCGCGGTGCAGCTTTGGACAGCACGTCCACAGCTTCAAGGATAGTGCAGCCCAAGCTATTGGTAACCGAGTATCGCATTGTCAGTGAAAGGGTCGCACGCGAAGAACACAGACGCGATGTCAATTTCCGACCGTGCACCGCGCCCGCCACGGGCGATGGATTACCTCGTCGAGAATTTGGAGGAATTGATTATACGTCATATAATTCTTTTCCAGAATGGGAAGAAGAAGAGAGCGAGGTGCCGTCGTGATCCCTGCTCGAACCTTGCGAACGTCGTGTCCGATTCCCGAACTCTCGACTTCCGGTGAAAGTGGTGTCATTACCGATGACATTGACGAAGCACAGAAGCAGCTGCTGGATGCTGCCCACGGAGCGGCTCACATGCGTGCTCATCTACGGTCGGTTCTTGACCTTTGTGTGGAATACGGCTTCCGCTCGGTGAATTCCGCTACTGAAGTGAAAGACGCGATCACTTAATTGCTTGGCGTCCACGTGGTCGGGCCCCGGCCACTAAAGCTAAGCTTGACTAACGAAAAGCTCTCCGAGTTTGCGTCTTGGTCGATCCCAACGAATAGGTATTGTGCTCGACATCGCGCTCAAAGAGGAGGCGATCCTGTACCCGAGAAGCAGACGATTTGTGTGGTGCTCGCCCCTGGCAAAACCGCTGAAGATGAAGAACTGCCCTTTAAGAGATGGGTGCAGCGGCTTTCCAATCTGTTCAACTTACAGCGGAGCCACAATGAGGTCGATGTGATCGTGGATCGTTGGTTCGAGCTTGCCATACTTAACGCGCATCGCCGACTTCCTTCGTATTAACGCCCTGCAATGTATGGATTAGTCCGTCACGCTCCCGCGAGCTCTGTGATCTCTACGGTTAAGTCTGCGAGCACAGCAGCTCAAGGCCATAGCTTGAGCTCAGCTCATGGCCCTTCAGCCTCACTGGCTGCTGCCAAGAGGCGCAGGGTGTACGACGACGCGGAAAGTCATGATCTCTCTTATCATACGCGTTCACGAGGTGTGTGTGGTCTGCCTAAGTGGCGCTTCAACCTTTCACAAGTTCCCAAGGTCGGGGTATCCCTTCCACTTCACAAGATACTGTGTTTGACTCTGGCGACAACATTGAACTACAAGACGCTCCACGTTCTCGTCGAGAAGATTTGGCGGCGGACGATGACGACGTGGTCGATCGCCGTCCGGTGACTCGCGATCTTTTCGAGCTTTTGAGGATAAGATCCTTCGCCATCGGGACATTACTGAGCATCATGCTGGGGTCGTAAACCGCTGTGCGGAAGACCTAGAGAGCTTGGAACACTTTGTGCGCCGGCTGCCTCACGTTGAGGACTATCGTGCTCAGTCAGAGCCACTCCTAGCCGTTTAGCGGACGAACGCGTCGCTTCATGCAAAAGTGGAGCGCTTGGTGCCGTTGATGATGGAGATCGTTGCACTTCGTGCTCAAAATTAGTTGCTGGTATAGCTTCTGGGTGGTCGAGCGCCCATGGGTGCCGCTTCGGCGCAAACGCTTCCGCATCCGCTTGCGCCAAATTCCGATACGGCTTGAGCAAAACCACATACAACAGCGGGTGATTGCGCATCATTCTCGAGGGTTTAGCGTATACGCAAGTCCCCTTTTGGCCAGGTCCGATAAACCGTGGACGGAGCTTTGTCTTCAAGTCAGCAGAAATTGCAAGGGTAGGATTTTTTTTTAGCATTTATTAAAACCCGGTCTCCGACCTCAATGTTTTTAGCCTTTCTACTACCTCTTCCGTCTGTATATTCCTTCTGCATGTCTTGGCTTTCCGCCATCGCATCGCGAACGTGCCGTTAGACACTCAGGCTTCTAGACAGGAAGTCATCGACTTCTTTACGAACAGTGAGAGGGCTGATATCAGCTAGCCGCTCGGCTATTTCTCCCCCACCAAACCCTGAGCCATGAGATAGCGGCGTCAGCGGGACGCGAGGATGAACGATCCCGTTAACGTAGAACAGCGTGTAGCCGGTAGACGAGGGCACTGCACTATCCAGAGCAAGCTCTACAAGTGACAGCGTGAGCCTCGGAGTCTCAGCGCAGACGCTACTTAAGACGTCCTCGACGACGCGATTCACGAGCTCAGTTCGACTATCGGCCTTCGGATAGCCCGCTGTTGACATTTCCGGCTGGAAGGCCAAGACCTTAAAGACGGTTGACCAAATAATTCCAATGAAGTGCGATTATCTGTCCGAGACAATTGACTCCGGAAGTCCATGTTGCTGAAATACACGATCCACAAACAGCGTCGCTGTACCAACACCGTCGATGGTGTTCGGCAGCGCCGCAAGATTAGCCATCTTGATGAAACGGTCGACGAAGACCACCACACCCGTGTTGCCCGCCAAGTCCTTCAGCAGGCCAAACACAAAGTCCAACCTCATGGACTGCCAACAATCGGAGGTACAGGCAAACTGTTCACCGGCACCACCGCATTCGGAAAGAGTTTCACTCTTTGACACGTCTCACACGTACGCAAGTAGGTGCTCATCCATTTGAACAGCTTGGACCACCAGTCGTGGCAGTTCACAGAGCTTTATGTCTTCTCACGACCGATATGAGCACTGAGTGGGGTGTCTTGGGCCTCAAAGAGGATAAGGTACTTCAAATTCTCATCGTGAGGAATCACCATTCGTGGCGTATCTGTCGAATTGTTGCTAGAATACAGCAACTCGTTATTTAACGAATATCGGTGAAATTGTGCGCGCAATCACACCAACAACTTCTTGTCCGAGTTTCCAAACCCCTTGCTTCCGAGGGTCTGTAGCAGCGCTACGCAGATATCATCACCCGCGTATACGGCGCGGAGCGATCCGTAATGACGATGTCACCGTCGTGACATGAGCAAGCTCATAAACCGGTCTGCGTGACATCGCATCAGCCAGAGCATTCTGCTTATCTGGCTTGTCCATCACTTCGAAGTTATATTTTGTGAAGAAGGAGATTCGCCTGTATAGCTGTGCGTTATCGTTTACGGTAGACACACCTTGGGTCAGGGTTGACGGCCGGCGTCTTGCAGCTAGCATACGGCGTCATCGTCGCCTCTCCACAGAGGTTGTACCCTCTCGACGAGACCAGTGGGAACCCGCACTCAGTGTCGTCTAGTGTGAACCCCACTTCCTGCTCCACTGCAGCCCTGGTGCTATTCGCAACACTCGACGAAGAGCTGGTAGCTCCGCAGACTATGTCCAGTGGATTACGTGCCACTCTACACATATCTGACGGGCCTTGCCCAAGATGCTTCGGATCTCGTCCGACGTGGCATGCAGCGACTGCTACGATACTTGAGCGACACCCAGTGAGTTAACTGCCACTCCATGTTCAGCCCGCGTGCCACGCTCGGGACTCCTGTTCGATACACCTTCTATGTTCACCAACTCGGATACTCCAGTCTCCAGCACGTTGACCGTCTCGGTCCAGTGCCCGCGCCAATTGCGTTTTTGCCTCATTTCAGAGCAGGGTTCATGACTCACCAAAGCTCCACCAGGAGATGTGCGCGTAGTGCCCAAGGTCTTTAACTTCCAGTCGATCCATGGCTCATGGTTTTCAGACCATGCCATAGCAAAGATGAGGTCATGCTTGAATCCAAGTCTAAGGCTGAGCAGCGTTTCACGCTATCAAAATCAAGAAACTTGACATTGAGGTCCACAGGGACCTTCGACACCATGATAAATGCTCCCGCCGCTAGCGAATAGTAAAGATGTCACATAGCTGCGCCTTCAGCGCCTCGGCATACAGCTGATACCTTTCATCGTGGAGCGTCGAGCATGATTTCCCGAACGCCTTAAAGTCGATCAAAATTTTTCATAACTTCCCAAAGCCCTTCACGATCGCATCAATGACCAGCAAGCCCGGCTTGCATACACGTTTCGTGATCAAAAGCACAGAGCGCTTCGGTACTGGGCCCTACTGACCTCTACCTTCTTGGGGCTCAACAGAACTCAAGTTTTTCATAGTAGGCCACCCCGCGCCTACTGGGTGTTGTCTTTCCCCCGCGAAAAACCAGACAAATGGTGAGAAGCGGGACGTCGATTCGATGAGCCTTGACGCGCATTGCGCAGGAGACAACCCATCCAAAGGTGACGTGTGTCTCCACAAACAGAACACCTCACACGCTGCTCGGCAGCTCGGAGATCTCCCTCCTCGTCTTCAGTATGGCCGAGATCCATCGGCTCAGACCCCTATGACGAGCCGATAGAGTGTGCATTCCGACCAAGTCGTGCCGACTTAAAGTTGATTTCGGCATTCAATGCCACATTCACTGCTTTTTCAAATCAAGACGGGTGCACACGGAAAACGCTGGCCACACCAGTGTGGAGATGCTCCATAAAGACGGTCACTGCGACCGCCTCGGGAAGAGGATCGGCTGCCATACCGGCAATGAGAGCACGCAACTCTTGGACAAAGTCCACCAACTATTTTTGCCCTGTAGGGCGACAAGGAAACGCGATAGCACGCGATATACCTGGTTAGGCGGTGAGAACACTCGTAAAAGCTGAGGCTTCAGCTCTGTCCAGGAGGAAAACGCCGCTTCGCCCGAAGTGCTCACGTCAATTCTCGCGCTCGACCACTTGCTTGGGGATTGCTGGCTCCACGGCTGTTGCTCGATCTGGAGCGTGGCGGATGCAATGACCTTCTCGACCTCTCACCCAGAGCAGATATTCTCTATATCCTTGCCCTCAAAGGTCTCAGCATTCACCTTGAGCGACTTGTTTCGGAAGAATTCATTCGTCGTCGATGGTAGGGTAATAGAGCAGTCGACGCCGACATCTTCTGCTGTAGGTGCTCTATCAGAGTCTTTTCCTAGCTTGAAAACGCCTCTAGGTGCGCGCTGATCGCTTCAGGTCCTTGATAAGCGAGGAGTTGCACGCCCACAGGGCCAAGCAGAGATATCAGCTTTCAAAGCCCGTCCTACATGCCCTGGGGCATAAAGGAGAATTGCTCCATCCTCACAAGGGGTCAGTCGTAACGACTCAGGTGTAGAATGACTACAAATGTTACCAAGTACAGCGGGGCTGCCGTAGCTCTTTCGCTTAGAGGAAGCTTGGTTACCTTCGTTCAATGCTTAAAACCGGGACGAGTGGAGCGGATCGTAATCCACTTACTCCAAAAGTAATTACAATTTAACCCAAAACTAATTAACTCTTTCGTTTAAAATGTCAGCTGCTCAAGTTTGGTCACACAGTCACACCATCTTTTGGACCCACACCCTTCATACCAGGGCACGTGAAGCCCGCTACAAGCTCCGTGTTGTATTCTGGTTGCTTCCAGTTCGAATTCGATTACTCATCATGACTGAAATGGTTCCCGACTTCAATAAATGATGTCAGGAACCGCTTACAGAACGGCACTTGGTTTTTAGTGTTCCACACAACTGCGATGAGCACAAGCATCTGCTGTTACTGTTCGACTATCTTCTTACGCCCCCTATCTAGACAACTTTTGCTATCGGCCGCCTGTTTCGTGTTAAATGGGTGGTGGCACGACCGCCAGCGTAAGAGCAAAGGCATGTAGAAAGCGCGGTTGGTTATGCTTCATATTTTTGGACCGACCACAAAAGTAGCTTCTTCAACGGACTTGTAACGATACCAATAATCCAGCGCTGCGAGTGAATTACACGAGTTTTGAAGCTAATGTACGTCATTGCCTCCTTCGTACTTCGATGGTCTTGAACATGCTTTGCTCCGTCCACTGTTACAAGAAGTTTCTTGAAATGTTCATGAATTATAACGACTCTTTCTTTCAAGTGCGGTATGTGGCGTAAGAAATCTGAATACGGCATTGAAGTTTCAGCGCTGGTTGGTTGTGTTAAAGAACGCGCGGCACAAAACTTGCATCATCCGTGTCTTCCTTTGTGTGTAGCGTTTGATGGGCGCAAATCTGACGATGGATCGACAAGCAGAAACAAGGGCGATGCTGCTGGTAGTTAGGATGAACAGTGTAGCGCTGGATGTGAGGGCGAAAAATATAGTTTGGATGACGACGACATTGATGATGAAGAGACGCGAGCTGATGGTAAGAGCGGAGAGGAGGGTGCATTAGCTCTGCTTTGGTCACTCATGACCACTTTTAACCTCACCAGGAATCAAGCAAATACAGCACTAAACGCAGAAACCTTGGTCGACATCATTTACTATTACAGGATAGACGAGGTAGCTTAAAAGCAGTCGTATTAATATCTTAATACAGACGCCTTACCACTTACTTCAGCAAAAAATTTCTGTGACAAGTTTGCTTTTGGGTTCAAGTTTTACCAACATAAAAATATCGACTTTCAGTGAGTTTTAAGCTCATCACACAATATTTTTGCCACGCGAAATTTCTCCAAGAAGTTCTGTATTCAGCAGAGAATTTATAGATTAAATTTATAGACGCGAGGATACCGGTATCAAACCAAGAACTTTTTGACGCAGCATATGATTAGATGCATAAGAAGTCTTATAAATGTTTAAGCTCAGACACAATCGGTTTGACAAGAAAATCGTGTCATGTTCTGTGTCTCTATGCTTGTCCGCCGCACTGCTTTTCGTTTGAAATTCCACGCAAAATGTCAATCGTCGCTTGGCTATTTTCCAGGCACCAAACTTCCCTTTGTGCCTGATGTAGTGTTCCGTGATCCTAAAGATGACGCCTTAATTCCGTGCTTCCGCAGTACGATTCATGATTCGTTACAGCTACTAGTCTGTTGCTAATGTTTTTTATATTAGTTCTGAACGAGATTGGAGAAGTTGTGGAAGGCGCTAAGGACCCACAGCTTAGTCAGGACTTGTGCACCGAAGTGTACCGTCAAATGCTTCGTCTAAATGTACAAACTAATAGCAACTAGCATCATTCAGGATTCGCATTGAAACGAAACTTGTGCTTTGTAGACGATGGACAATATATTTTACGATGCGCAACGTCAAGGACGCATTTCATTTTATATGACGTCGTATGGTGAAGAAGCCATATCATTTGGTAGTGCGTCAGCATTACGTATTTCAGATATGGTCTTCGCACAATACCGTGAACCAGGTGTACTTATGTGGCGTGGATTTACGCTACAGAATTTTGCAGACCAGTGCTTTGGCAATAGAGACGGACATGGCAAAGGTCGACAGATGCCGGTGCATTATGGATCCAAGACTTTAAATTATCAAACGATTTCATCTCCTTTAGCGACGCAACTTCCTCAGGTAAGAAACAATGTGTTTTTAAAAGTGTTTGGTATGTTTTGCAATGGCTCAGATATTTGTAACTTTGATATAGGCTGTTGGTGCTGCGTATGCATTCAAAATAGCAAAAGAAGAACGTATTGCCGTCTGTTATTTTGGAGAAGGGGCAGCTAGTGAAGGAGATTTTCATGCAGCACTGAACATTGCAGCCACAAAAGATTGTCCAATTCTGTTTTTTGTTCGTAACAATGGTTTTGCTATCAGTACGCCAACACGAGAACAATATCGTGGAGATGGAATTGCCTCTCGTGGAAGCGGATATGGAATACCAATCATGCGCGTTGATGGCAACGACTTTCTTGCAGTGCACGAGGTTACTCGTCAAGCTCGCGAATTTATTTTAAGAGAGAATCGTCCGGTGCTTATTGAAGCCATGTCGTACCGCCAAGGACACCACTCGACCTCAGATGACTCAACACAATATCGGGCGGTTGCGGAGATTAAGCAATGGAAAGAAACGAGTGATCCGATCGAACGCACAAAACGTTATTTACTGGTTTGTAACGTAGTGGTTATGTACTTGTACTTGGTGATTGACTGATTGGCTTGTAGCAACGAGGATGGCTTACCGAGGAGCAAAATCGTCATCTGCAAGATAATGAGCGGACTAATGTGCTTACAGCGCTGCAACAAGCTGAGACCAAAGAATCACCAACTCTCGACACGATGTTTGAAGATGTGTATGACGTCAAGTTGCCGCATTTGCAAGTAGGTGATTTATAATTGTTTAAAGTTTCTTTAGCAATTATAATGATTGCGATGTCACAGGAACAAGAACGCGAGATGGTGGAGCATGTGGCAAAGTATCCTCAGTTTTACACCACCCAGCACTGACAGCGTAATGATATCTCTTTGCGAATGCTAAACCGGATGATATTCTGACCTATTATATAGATACTTCGTGCTTGATAAAGCTCACAGTAAGGCATCCACAAGTTTAAGTGGTTGCAATGGTCACAAACATAGCTCTTATCTGGATGTAATATCATTTTTAAAAAGCCGTGATTACTTGCTTTTCGTAAGGAGCAAGCGCGATACCAATAAAGCCAAATGACCTTCTCCTAACGGTCGTGTCCTGAGTTAAGATTGCAAACAAGTACACAAATGACTTATCTGAACGCAGCGCATTCACCAACTCATCAACGATTTTTTCAAAGATACGTTTTATTCTCAGACAAGACGACAACGATGAACATTCGGGCAAATATTGTTCGGGCAAGCATCGCATCGGCTTAACAGGGAATGTGATTGATGGTCATTCAGCACTTTGGCGCTTTGATGATTGCAATATAGGTTCGTGATTTTGACAAAAGTGAAGTTTTCCGCTTACCTTCCACTAATTGTCGAAACCTCTGCGCAATATTCTTGTTTGCTCCGATTGATTTCATGCTGAGTGCGATATTGCTGTGATAGGCGAATGATTCTAGTGAAATTGCAAGGTAGGGTGGGACTCTTAAAAGCCTCTTGTGGCATCCAATCTATCGACGTCTGGCTGGGTAATTCAATCTGACCATAAACGTCTTTCTACAAAAAGGGTCTCCATGAGTTTTAGCGTTTTCTAATGATGACTGTGTTCGCGACAAATCTTTTTCAGACGCTTACAGGAGTAAGCTTAATTCTACCAAAGGCGCTATATGACCCAAAGCTTAACAATTGTTGATTCTACATGACGAGAAAGCGAAAATAGTTGATGCCTTACGGCACATCTTTGAAGTGACAAAGTTGACAGGAGATGAGGAAACGTTAGAATGCTTGCTTTAAGTTACTTGACATTCTACTTTAAATTTGCCATTCGTAATTGTCAATTTGAAATTGGGTGAGTGAAGTAATCACTTCGTCTGCTTGACCAAACAAATGCATTCTCTGGGCTTCTTCTGTATGGATCCGCACATCAGGAATAGCAATGCTATACATACCCGCCGCATTTGCAGCAATGTAGCCATTCACCGAATCCTCAAAAACAATACAGCGTGGCGGTTTGTCGCCATCTTCTCCTTCATTCAGACCAAACAGACGTTGACTTGCTGTACGAAAGATATCCGGTGCAGGCTTGCCTTGTTTTACGGCGGGATCATCGCCGCACACGATCGTAGAAAAGAATGAGAAAAGTTTTGAGTGATGCGCGATCTTTGTTTCCACGACACTCTTACTATTAGATGTAGCAAGTGCCAAGGGAATGCCCCGAGCGTGTAGTGCACTTAATGTCTCCAAGGCACCCGGTAACTCTTGAACACGGTCTGACATTGAGCGCATACTCTTCTCCCATTGTTTAAAAAGCTCGTCTGCTGTGATAGTCTCCTCACTCAGGCCAGCGGCGGCGATGGCCATACGCGTCCACTCAACGGCAGGGCGACCTAAAATGGTCTTGTGCATCGCCATAGTAAACTCGCTCCCGAATTGACGCACGACACCATCAATAGCGAGGCGACTTAGCTCTTCTGTATCAAGAAGTGTACCATCCATATCGAAAATGGCGCCGTGCACCTTGGGCTTGACGGTCATGAGGCTTACAACACAGAACTTTGAGATCGAGGCCTGTCATTTATACTGTACGGTATCTATAGGACAAAAATGAGTAATCAGCAGGTGCACAGTTCCAAGATATAGAAGCTTTAGAAGGTGTGTAATTGGTTATTTTATGTAATGTTTATCGTAAAAACATGTTATGACGATAAGTTAATTGGTAGGATAAATAACGGATTTTTACGAATTGTGATCGGTCTTTTATTTATTTGTAGCCTCAAGAAATCGATCCTTTTGACCGGAGGTCTACAAATCGTAGAGGGCTACTATATCTCGACGACATCAACGTCATCCAAGGCTTGGTCTAGTTCATTTACATTGAAAGGATCATCCCTTCTTTCACTGCCGGCATCGCTCCACCTTTGCTGAAATTTCCACCCGTAAACATCATGGTTCCAAATGAACCACTGT